GAGTTATTGTGTTGTTTAGGTGGTCCCTTTATTTTTTTGAGCAGTGCACTTACAAACAATTATTTGCGCAGTAATTTTTTAAACTGTAGCTACTTTGAAATAGTTCCAAGTATACATGATTGTTGTTTGTGACCAAGATGAATGCGTTTCAATTATTCCATCATAGCAAACTCAAAACTATCATGATATATATAGTCTTCATAGTCTTGTATGTAAAGTTTTGTTCACAGCTGTGTATATATCCAGAAGACCACTTTAAAAATCTGTTGTTTTTTCATGGTAACCTGGAAAACATCTAAAAATATAAAAACATTTAAAAACACAAACAATTTCTAACATTATTACCAAATATTTCAAAATGTGCTCTATGTCTCATAATCATAATCAGATTTAAACATTTGTGATTATGATAGTATGATCTCTGTTGTGCAAAAGGTCACATTCAAGTGGATTTGATCAACTCATCAGAAGCTTGTTCAAGTAAATTAACCACTGAAATATGGCAATGCCACCAGTTTCCAGCAGAACATTGTTCGCTTAGTAGCATTGTGATTGTGGGAGACATGGCATGAAACATGAAAATGTCAAAGTCGAAGAGTTATTGTCAGGCTTTCAGAGTTTTAAATCATGGCAAGACTAAGGTCAAAAACAACTTGATTAGTTGTATCAAAAACAGGATATGACAAAACATAAGTAAGCACGAAGATCAATAAAGTCGATGTATGAAGGAGCCATTAGGATTTTAATTAAACATAGAATTAGGTAAGTAAAGGACAGGACTCCAATCAACAGAAGTCCTGTCAAAAGAAAGCTGTCCAGGAGCATCTATAAAACTCAGGAGGGTAAACAAATGCTTGGGGTTGGCTGTGTTAACATGAAGACATTTTTCAGACAGCTGTGATTTGAATCAATTCAGCTGTCTACAGCATGCGCTGTACATGCAAAACTGTGACCCAAAGTTTTAGGCTTTAAGTCCACCTTTGTAAGTTTTGTGTGTCTAACAACAATAGTTGTGTATCAGATTCTGAGCAGGTGACCTACACTCAACGCTGTACCTCAAAGCCTCCTGTGAAGACACATAGACAGAGATTTGTCACTATGCTAAATGTCTTGCTCTTAGACTAGACTTTCAACTTTTCATTCACATTGTTATGCTGATATTATCGTTTGGAATTAAATATTTTGTATTAAATTTGAAATGAATGCAAAACAGAAGTATCTCCATATTGGTCTCATACATCTGGGACATCATTGTAAAAGAAAAAACTTAAATGATATAGGCTATACTAGTACTATATTTGCATATAAATTGCATGAAATGAAAGCTCAAGCAAATCTCTATTTTTGTCTCTCAGAGACAGCAATACACGTGAGGACACACACCAAAGAAATGATTATGTGCCCCAGTGAGTGCATTATGATCTCATACCTACTACATGATGGCCTCTGGTGCTCTGAAGGCAAAAAAAAAAACAAAAAAACAAAACAAAAAGGGAACTACAAAACTACGAGATAAAAAGATTACTGCAGGCACCAAATGAAACATGTGAAGGTAGATCGTGGTGCCTTACATACACGAATAGATACACATTTTAGATGTTTAGTCTCATGATATGAATAAAACCTGAGAATATTAAGTAAAAATTGGAAACGTATCCATGAGTTCAGAGAGGCTAAAGAGAAGGACATTTGATTGGCCTAAAGAGGTTCTAGCAAACCATTCAACTCCTCAGGAAGGGAAGGCCGGGCCCTGGCTGCATCCAGCCAGGGGGAGAACTGCTGACACAGACTGTGGATATTAGATCGTCTGCTAAGGAGGCAGAGTCTAAAGGCTCGGGGGAAGCCTTGCCCTTGTACGAGGTAGAGGTCGCTGTGATAGTCAAGGAAGTCCCCTTTGGCACGGCACCAGGTGTGGACAAGATTTAGCATTAGATACTGAAGGCTCTGAACAGTATTGGACTGTCTCAGCTGACAAGCCTCTTCAGTGTCATGTGGACAAGGGGACGGTGCCTGTGGAGCGGCAGGTCAGGGTAGTGGTTCCCGTTCTTAAAAGGGGGACTGGAGAGTATGTTCCTAATTATTCAGGTATCACACTACTCAGCCTGCCTTGGAAAGTTTGCTCCAGGGTGCTAAAAACAGGGCTCCATCATGGTGTGGAACAATGGAGCAGCTCTTTACCATTGCAGAGCTGCTGAGGGGCGTCATAGGAGTTCAGTCATACAGTTTGCGTGTCCTCTGAGTGGTCCTGTGGTCATTTATGTCTCTTTGATCCTGTTCATGACATTCATGGACAGAATCTCAAAGTGCAGCTTGAGTGAAGAGGTCCAATTTGGAAACCTCAGGATTGTGTCACTGCTTTATGCAGATGACATGGTTCTGTTGGCTTCATCACACTGCAACCTTTAGTGTTCTCTGGGGTGGTTTGCAGCTGAGAGTGAAGTGAGATTCCAGTTTTCAAATCTATCGTCATGAGCTCTGGAGTCAGCTAAAGTAGTTTTGGGAATCTGTTTAGAATGTCTACTGCATTCTAAACCTTGATAGGCAAGCAAGCAGGCTCATGAAATAATACCTTTTATTTTATCGCGATATCCTCCATGATAATTGCAGTATATCATAATATTTGTAGAATATACTTGGAATCCATTAAGAACGCCTACTGGAGAGACTCCATATCTCATCTGGCCTAAGAATGCATTGAGATCCCCCAGGAGGAAACAGAAAGCACTGCTGTGGAGAGGTGTGTCTGGAAAGGCTTCACTTGCTACCTTCCAGTGATATCTGGTTAACTGCAACATTGTCTTCCAGTATATACTAGATTTTGTATTAGTCTGGTTGTTTGCCTATCAAGGAAAATTGCACAGATATTATGTTTAATTTTTCGCAATATCCTTAGTGTTGATTGCAGAAGCTATATCATTTAACAATGACGTCTTTGCTGAATTGTGCAGCCCCACTGTATGTGATTTAGTATTATCCTCTGTAGTAAGGGCCGTGCATCTCTGAACTGTGAACAACATAATGGGTCACAGAATGTGGATGACAGATAAATATGAGAGGGATGTGCAGGAATAAAGAAAAGGGAAAAAAATAAATCTTCATCCCTCTACACTGAAAAGACTAATCTGAGGGGAGGCTTGTTGGTGCAGGAAGGCTGAAGGAGGCAGGAGAGACGGGACTGAAGGGGAGTAAGTCAGGTGGTGGTGGCGGCGGTGGTGGTGGGGGAAGGGGTGGAGATAACCATCAGTAATTTCAGCATGCTGGTGGATTTCCATTTGTTTGGTAGCTTGACCAATGGTGCGTTGGGATGTCTGCACCAAACAGCGGTGTGGAACTGAAACACAGAGAGGCAGGAGGGGGATGGAAGCACTGAGGCATTAGCTCCGAGAAAGAAAAGGAGGAGCTGCTGCCATTTTGATAGCGTCCACAGAGTGGAGACTGAGCTGTTCGGACAATGGCGTCTTCACACCCTCTCTCTCTCTGACACACGTGGATGCACTCACGCACACACACACACACACACACACACACACACACACACACACGCCTGAGGACTGATAAACTGATTGGTGTCAACTGATACAGGACGTCACCGGTTCAGACATTTTTGAGGGGGGTCATGTCTGGTCTCTTCTGCAAATACATCAACACTAACACCATGATTTGGTAATCCCACATAAGTAATGCATCAGACTGACCAGTACAGGCTAATGGCTCACAGACATGGATAGACACTGTACTTGAACTAAACTAACCACAAGAAGTTCCTCAGTAGAAAAATCCCATGAAGGTAAACTCTGATTTACTTTCATTACTAGCTACTGAAAGTTGTTGAAAAGGTTCAAGTGTTTAGAAAGGAGACACGTAAAGGTCACAGAACCAGTGCTTTAAGGAGCATAAACGGTTCCATTACTTCAGACTCATGGCATGCATCGTGCACAACAGTTATTTAACTGATGGTACACATTACTAATGCTCACAGTAATTCATGCAATAATTTACAGGATTTTTATGGACTAAGGACTTCAGAGGGGCTAGAAATCTAACCTAGCAGCTCTCTGACAGCAAGAAATAGCCCACTAATTGTCCTGCACATTTCTGCCTTCTTCAGGCTCACCAGTATCTGCATTACACTACATCACAAGTATGACACTCTTTAGAAAGAGCTGGCACTGATTCATAACTGCCACTGCTGCACTGTTGCAAAACTGCCATGTAAGCCATGCATGAGCTCATAGTGTGTATACTCTAGACATAGTTTGTATGGATCTACAATATGGATGAGGCGTGTTGGGATGTATATTTCTTATTTCTGTATACATATCTATATACACGTATACACTGCCAGAATAACTTTTGAAACATCACAGCAAAATATCTTGCTTTCCTTGCTTAGAAATTGTAAAATCTACTTTAAAGTATGTATAACCTGTTATGTCTATTATTATTATTATTATTATTGCTGTTATTGTTGTTGTTGTTATTACTTTCAGCATTGAATGTAGTTGTGTTTTTGCTCTTTCTGTTCAGTACTTCCTTTTGCCAAATTATGGACTTTAAAAATGTATTTATTCAATTTAATTTTGTGTTATTAATTTGTGACAAATTAAACCAGTCCTTCCTCTCATGTGTGTGTGTGTGTGTGTGTGTGTGTGTGTGTGTGTGTGTGTGTGTGTGCATGAGGCATCCATGCATACCCGTGTGTACATTCACATGTGCGCACCTTCCCACATATGCACAAATGAAATATGACCCCATCCGCTCTTACACACACACACACACACACACACACACACACACACACACACACCGAGCCATAATTCTCTGAAGCATGACAGCCAGCAAGGTTGGCTTCGTCCCTGCAGGCTTTTCATTTACTGCCCACCATAATGCCGCATCCTCAAACCCCCCCCACCCCAAACACACACTCCTCCCCTCCTTATTGGCTATTATCTGGGCTGTCGGAGCCTGTGTTGATACCTAATGAAGGGCCACGGTTGCCATTTCTCAGCTGACGGTCGTCATGGTTACGGCAGAATGTCGGGGGGGAGAGGCTGAGGTGGGGGTTTGTGAATGTATTAGAAAGAATAAGGAATAAAAGATGACGATGAGAGTTGGTTGAAAGCAAAATCAGATGTGATGTATTTGTTTTTACTGCTGATTCAAGAAACCAGACAAACCGTTTTCCTCCGATACACAACAGAACGGCTGGACTAGTTGAAAAGTCAGTGCAGACTTGAAACACAAGAATTCAATTTTTTTGTATTTAGCCAAAACCACCAACTTTCCTTTTCTTAATATAAAATACAATTTATCTCATCTCACCTTATCCCTAACCAGGCCTTTAATCCTCTGATCCATAACTGTGCTGGCAGATTTTAAAAGGCTTGCTATCTTTAAAAACTGTTAAAATTTCACTCGTTATCAGAGCGAGAAGCTGTAAAAACTGAAGAAAAAAAATGTTGGTGTTCTGTCAGAAAACCTACTCATGTCTGAGTTTAAAATTGTGATGTCATCAGTTATTACTTTCATATACATGCCTAAATTAAAAATGTGTCAAAAATAAACTGATCATTTTATCTGAACTGTTAAAAATAATGAAAATATTAATAAAATGTGGAACCACCACAGTTTTTTTTCCCATAGTACCGGTAACACCTTTTAACATTGCTTGTATTTTACAGTTTTTTTAAAGAAAACTAAGAGTGAAACATTTGAAGAGTTGTATAAAGGAATATCACTTTTAGGAGGCAGGGTTGGCTTTTGCTAGTTTTGCTTGTTTTTAATAATCTGGAATTGGATAATCTTTTCCTGTTTTGTTTCTTTGCTATAATTATTGCTCACTGAATGAACTTGGCAGGTTCACAGAGGCACTTTCTAATTCAATTCTGAAATTTCAGTCGGTGCCATGAGAATGCTCTTTTGTTCTGCCTTTCTCTTCCCCTTTTTTCCTCACTGTTATTCTTTTTTCTGTCTTTCTCTCTGCCACATTCTTCTTCATCTCTCTTGTAATAAACACATTTCTATGTGATCCCCGCAGCTCCTGTTTCACTGCCACTCACCATTTCTTTCTGATTTGTAATCATGCTTCACTGATGGACAGTTTGTCCTTTAACTCAAAGACATAATTGTGTTTTGAGAGAGACAGATGACACAAGGGCCAGATTAATCACAACACTAAACTCATTTCTGAAGGACAGTTGTAAGGTGGTGATTCCACACACTGTCTCCAAGCAGTAGTGCACATCTCCAACAATGAGATGTGGCAGGGCTAATACCGCATGCACACTGTGGCCTAATGAGAAGACACTTCAGTCAGGATGATGAGACGCCTGCCAGCCACCACACAAAACTGAACAGCAACAGGCTCTTTCACCGTGTGTTTGTGTGAAGCACGTCTGGGGTTTGAGGTTCTTGATGAATAAATCAGGCTTGTAAATAAAGCAATGTCTCAATAAGAGGATTGTTCTGAACATAATTACAGAAACTGAATTATTAACAATAAAAATATAAGAGGGTGTCCAACATACTGAAAGTCAGACTGATTTTTCAAACCAGCTTTTGTAGATCATATTTCCTCATCTCACCAGTACTCAAAGCAACACTCCTCTGTCAGCACTGCTGCTTTTGGTGTAGCTATGGCTTCTGTTCACACCACATCGATAATGTAGTACTTTATAGTACATGTATATATTGTCTGTTATTTTGGAAAATGTTCATGTCTGTAAAAAATGATTCTATTCTATTCTATTCTATTTTATTCTATTATATAACTCGACTGTTGACATGTCTCAAAGCTCAGATCAATCTGATGAATCTGTTAATAAGGAACTTCCTGTAAACACATTTAATGGCTATAATGCTATTTTGTCAATACACTAACCACCCAGCTTAAATTCTCAAAGACATACACACAAAAAAGGTAAACTGGCTGCCTCTTACATTTACTAAAGCATAACATGTACTTTAAAATATAATTTGATGTTTGCAGAATGACCACAATGAAAGTATTTGCATGATTTTCAACCACTTAACATTTATTAGATGTTTAGATGAACTGAATAAGCTCGTTTATATACAGCTTATGCAAGTAACCACAAAATAACTTGAATGTCCTTAAAAAATGATATTGATCCAAAACAAAGAAATGGTAGTTAACCATGTCTAAATATTATACATGATTTGTTAAGTTTTTTCAAGGAGTTCTTTGTGTGTATGTGTATTTTCCCATACCTTTATACGACCTATGAACACAGCATTAGCCAAAAAAAAAAAAAAAGCTAATGTCCCCCACAAAAATTACATTTTAAAATGGATTTCTGTCATACAGTTGGGAAAATTATTGTTATATTTTGATTAACTTAAAGGTGTAAATGGGAAAATCTGTTTTGTAAAATATGTAGAGAGCAGCTCACTATGGGCTGATTCAGGCCTTTTCCATATTTGTTGTGATGAATAGCATTTAGAGCTGTGTCTATTCAGCCTTTTTGTTGATCCCTTAATGTCACATTTTATGTATTTATGGTGTGATGGTTTGAAAAAAACATTAAGTGATTTTGGATCACAACAGGGAAGCACATCGCTCACACACATCTGCGAGGCACACACACACACACACACACACACACACACAACAGGCCTCGACAGGCCTTCCTTAGGCTAAGTGGCGTTAACCTCTTTCTCTCATGGGGCCCAGACAAAAGCCCCCAAGGAGGGCTAATAATCACATCGCTATCTACCCCTCCCCCTCTCCTTCCACCACAATACGGCAGCCCCAGTCCTCATGTCTGGCTTCTACAGCACTGCATCATCAAAACATAAAATGATCCCGTACCTTTTTGTTAAACAAGCATTATTTTTTTAAATGAAGATTCTGTGCAAATGACATTTAAAATAATAATAATAATTTAATTAAAAATTACATTTGGTTTCTCTGCCAAATATAATAAACTATACCTGATTCAATTAACTTTATCTAAAATTGTATTTGGGGAGAGGAAAAAGGACAAATGTTGCTTCTTTTTTTTTTTTTTTTTTTAAGTACAAAACTTTCATATGAAAGTCAGAAATAAACCCAATATTTGAGAGACAAGACATTCAAACAGCAATTAAAGAAGAAAATCCCAAAGGTGTTGGTGACTTTGCACATCTCTTCCTGTTGGAGGTGGATGCCAGCTGCTGTGGATGCACATCACAGCTGTTAGCTGCTGACTGGTGGACTGCTGATGAACTGATCCCAACATGACACCCTGCCTTATAATGCCGAGGCTTCAGGCAGTCCAGTCCCTCAGTCTGAAAACATCAATTCTTTCCTAGGCCTCTACAAACCATTTTCCAATTTCATAGAGTACATAACAACAATTAATACAAACACATTGCCATGAGCCAGGCTTCCATGCCTGTGGGAATTGTCCTTGCCCTCCAGCACTGTAATGAGTGTGTGGACCAGCCTACAGTAAGGACACAGGAAGTCTGTAGTCGTAGGAAACAGGGCCTCCTTGAATTCCTTGGTTGTTCAAGGAGGCCCGTCAGGATGGGACATGAAGAGGTTTGCGAGAAGGGAAGCTTTAGTGTGTTTTGGAAGGGCATTGAAAAAGATGTGATTGGTTCAGGACCTACCAATGAGTCAACCATCAGTAAAGGACTACACATAACATGGCAGCATGTTTCAACTTTGCAGAGGCCTTGCAGGAAAATATGCAAGCAAATGTAGGGATCACTCTGTAACGTGTGTGTAGCTGCATTATAGACAAGATGAAATTTGATACAATTCTAAAAGATTCCAGAATCCAATATTCACTAGATTTGTTGTTCTGCCATTTAAAGAGCCATTTGCTGCTTGTCTCATGCTGACTTGCAGAAAAGATTTCTCTGTTTCTATGCATTAAGATAATGTTTAGACACTCCTTAAGCGTATAAGATGAGCTGTAAATATTCTGTTCAGACTCTGGGATGGAGGTAGTTTTTAGCAATCTTGCTTTAATTTCATTTTCAGTTTACCAGCTTACGCGAAATGATGTGGTTTATAATTACATCCAGTACAGCTGTTGATATGAAGACTGGCTTTTCCATGCTGACATTAAGGAAACACTAAACTCTTAAAAAATGCTGCATCATGTAAACATCCAAGTTGCTGAAGAGACCAGATAAATAGATGTCACTGTCAGATTCAAGAGGCGTTATTATCTTAATATTAGATTTTTTGACGGTTGCTGGATGAATATAGCATTTAATGTCACCATCAACCATCATCATCATCATCGTCACCATGAAGTCCTCAGATTAAAACAAACAAAAAAATAAAATAAACAAAAACAGACAAACATGTCAGTGATATCCAATTATTGTTAATAGATAAGGTCAAGTTCAAGATTTAGTCCAGTTTAATCTCGGACTGTATGTAAGAGAAAGACAGTTTAGAGAAAGCTCAACCATCCATCATGTCCTCTGTGTGGTTTTTACAGAATCATGTGACCACGCTTTGTGACAAACCTTCACACAACTACCAAAGCTGTCATAGATCATTGATCATTCAACCAAACAACTAGGGCCACTCTTTTTCAGTTGGTATCATTAGAGCCAGATTTTCCTTAAGTCACAAGATTCACAGATTTGACACACACAAGGTTGATGCATTTAATCTCACATGTTAACACAAATCAAATATTTATCACCTGTGCTGTATGTGTGACAAACAGAGTGTGTAGGAAAAACTCATACTGCATAGGTGGTGGTGCGTGTTAAAAAAAAATGGATGATATATGAAGCCCATTGTGTGTATTGTCTGTTTCTGTTTGAATGTGTGTGTGTGTGTGTGTGTGTGTGTAGAAGGGCACTGAACAGCTGGGGGTGGAGGCAGTATTAAAGTGGGAGTCACTGATGTGTAACGCCACACATGCCTCGCCTTGATTGGCTCATTTTACCCCACCAGGATCTTTTTTTTCCCCACTATTCCCTATTTTCCTCTTGAAACAATGCTTTCGTTTCACCCCTTTGTTGTCTGTTTCTTTATTCCCTCCGCGAGCAGGAGGGATGGCAGAGAGGGAGGAATGAAGAGAGGAGGAGGAACAAAACGAGAGCGCAAGAAAACTAATTTAGTAAAAAAAAAAAAAAAAAATGGAGCTAAAGTGGTGAGGAGGTTTTTCTTTTTTTATCCAGATCTAGATACACATCGAAATTGTAAATGACTAAATATAATATGAGAAGTGACACAGCGTCTAAATATTGTAAAGTGGTAAAATGTCTCCACATGTTCACAACACTGACAGCTTTGAGTGTGTGCACCAAACAACTGTGACAGTTAAACCTGGCCAGCATGGAACCAGACACAGGGTCCCCATGGATGAGCTCAAAAAGGTGAGATGAGCCTTGTGAAGACTGCACACGATCATTTAAAGAACCAACAACATCGAACACAAGCTGGCAGCATAAATATTGATGGAGGGGACAATTTCATCAAGGCCCTGGCTCGTGGAGGTTCTGCATGAGGCCGAATTTATGAATTTATGACTGAAACTGCTAATCTAAGAAGGCGTTTGCATGGATCCCTGTTTTCTCTCACTTCCCCCAAGCTGAGCCCAGCATAGGCCCATCCTAGTGTTCAGCCTGACAGCCACAAACCCTCGTCTCCCAACCACGTCTCCACAGAATTACACTCCTATCAAACTAATGGGGCTCTCATTTACGTTTTGGAGAAATTTGTTTCCACATTTTCCTAACTCAGATTTTTCCTAACGCTAATTTTGGTGCTGAAACTTAATCAAGGAAGTGTCAAAGAAAACATTTTTAAAATTTAACAGTAAAATGAGAGAAAATTGCAAAAGTCTGAGGACAATTGTCCCACATGGAATGCAGACCTCATGTTGTGGATGAAAGTCATTGACGTATGCCTCCATGCTCCCCTCCTACCACCTAATATGACTTTTTCAAATAGGAAACCTTTCGTTCGATGAGAAAATACGGTCATTGCAAAATGGAATAATAAGTCAACCAGCCTTCTCTCCGATCCTGAATCGACTAGTCACCTACAGACTGTGAGCATTGGGCCAACCAGCTCCCCGTCTGCCCTGCAGATGATTAGACTGGGTCTGCTTTGCTTGCAACTACTTTTCAGTTTGTTATCCTTCCAGTCAATCATCCAGCTGCCAAACACTGAACCTGTTAGCACTCTTATCTGAACCTACCCTCTTCTCCAGAGCCACCTTTCAGGAAGGCCCAGAGGGAAAGTTTAGTTTTCCGATGACATTGTGCCTCTCAGCTGCCCAGAGCCTC